GGTGGCAGAAGTAATGAAAATGAAACAATGAAAATAAACAGGAAATGCTTCATTTTCTGTTTGTGTGATCAGCACAGATAAGACTGAAAGTTTGGGGGCGCTGCAGATTTTCACATTACAGCTGAGTTAGAGCAGTCTGTTTAGGAATGGCTCATAAAGAGTGTTTAAGCAGAACTTACTTGGCGTTCTCGATGTATGTGGTGGCCTTGAGGAAGTCTCCCTGTTGTTTATACAGCAGACCCAACTCATAAAGGGTGAAAGGAATCAAGTAGTGATCATATCTGATCCGACCCTCACTGAAAGTAAAGCCCATTAAAGCATTATCTTTATTTTCAGAAGGTAAACCACAGCATTAAGTGCCTAAACAAGGTCGTCGGCATGCTTTTGTGTTCTTATCTGTGCTTGTGTTACCTGGAGAGCACCTGTGTGAAGCACAGCTCAGCCTGCAGTAACCTGCCCAGGTGCTTCAGGCAGAGTCCCTTCAACATCTGGACCAGACAGCTGTCATCTGTGTGAAACTCTGACGGATCTGAATGAGAGATGGACTGTTAGACATAGATTTACATAATCTTTCATTAGCCATGCGCTAATATTCAGCAGTAATAACCTTACATGACAACCTAACGCCTTCTGAGATAAAAGGATTCAGAATGGAGACTTAAACATATTTAGCTCCTGGAATACACCAGTTGTTTTTTGGCTGTATGTTTTAGGTCATTGTCCATCTGCATTATGAAACGCCGCCCAATCAATGTGACTACATTTAGATGAATTTGTGCAGACAGCATGTTTCTTAACATCTCATATTCCTTCAGCTGCTTCTGTCCTGTGTCACATCATCGTTAAACACTGGTGTCCCAGTGCCACCTGTAGCCACGCACACCCAAGACATCACACTGTGTCCGCCGTGTTCTACAGATGATGTGGTGTGCTTTGGATCATGACCTATTCCACTCCTCCTCCGTAGTATTTTTCTCACCATCATTCTGGTAGAGGTTGGTTTTGGTTTCATCTCTCCAATAAATGTTTTTCCAGAACTGTGCTGGTTTTTTTTATTTAGAAATGTTTTAGCAAAATTCAAGCTAGCCATCCTATTCTTGAGGCTTATAAGTGGCTTGCACCTTGCAGTGAACCCTCTGTATTTACTTTCACGCAGTCTTCTCTTCGTGGTAGATTTGGATATCAACTCCTGGAGAATGTTGACGTGTTTGGCTGTTGTGAAGGGGTTTGTCTTTAGCAAGGAAACGATTCTGTGATCATCCACCACTGTTGTCTTCCGTGGATGTCCAGGTCTTTTTGCATTGCTGAGTTCACCTTTCTTTCTCAGGATGTACCAGACTGTAGATTTTGCCACTCCAAATATTGTAAAAATTTCTCAGATGGGTTGTTTCTGTTTTTGCAGATTCAGGGCGGCTTGTTTCACCTACATGGAGGGCTCCTTTAACCAAATGCAAGCACCACACCTCAAATCAACTCCAGGCCTTTTATCTGCTCAATGGATAATGACATAGTGAAGGAACTGCCCACACCTCATAAACCCTTCATTCAATTTGAATCTGGACAGCAGAGTTTACACATTGTTTGTAAATAAATGTATTTAGAATATGTTTCAGTAAACGGGTAAAAAAATCCAAGTATAAATGGCCTAACTGTAATAATGAGCTCACTGTATTCAAATGGCCTCCACAGTAACCAGCTCTCTCACAGATCTCTTCCATAGAGCACCTTTGAGATGTAGTCCAACAGCAGTTTCAAATCATGGATGTGAAGCTAACAAATCTGTCAAACTGTGTGAAGCTATCATGTCAACATGGTCCGAATTTTCTGAAGACTCTTTCGAACCCCTTGTTCAATCATTAACACAAAGAATTAAGGAAGTTCTCAAAGCAAAAAAGGCTCCAACAAAATGTGTCAAATGAGTGTAAAATACCCAAGCTTTATCGAAGACTTAAATGTAATTAGATTCTTAACAAAACAGCTGTAACATCTTATAGCCGACTCCATGTGCACAGTTTTGTGATGTCTCAGGAGTTTTAATCAGTGTAGATGCATAAATATTAATATCAGCTGCTTACAGGCAGGCTTGAAATCACTAACATGAGCAAAATAGAAGCAGGCCCAGGACAGAACCCTGTGGGACGCCTGTTTTACTCTCATGAGATACTATTGGCAGCACACGGTGTTAGCAGTAGTGCTAATAGCAGAGGTGCAGTGTTGAGCTCACTGGGGTCATTGCGAAGCTGCTCCTCTGCCTTCTCTATGGTTACCAGCAGGGACTCGGCACAGTCGGCTCGCTTTCCGACGATGGTGAAACCATTCCACACGTACATCATCTCCTAAAAGAGACAACAATTGTGCGTTATACTTCCCTACCAGCTCATTCAGAGTTCATCACACTCAACTAAATAACTGTCAAAGTAGTGAGTTTATTATGTGCATGTGAATGTTTGTGTACCAGCAAAGGGATGACCAGGGGGATGGGGTTAGCAGCTTTGTAACGCCTGGACTTCCTCACTGCAAATTTCTCCGTTGGAATGGACTTCCCAGCCAGGCGCTGTTTCAGCCCCTCCACCTGCCTACACACACACACACACACACACACACACACACTGTCTTACTGCTAATCCTGGCCTTAAACATAGCTCGGCTCTACCTACTTCACATAGGTCAATTCAGCTCAGGGTGTTTAAAAAATACATGTAAAAAACCGGCTGACCTGAAGAGCTCCACAACATTCTCCCCCGTCTTCTTCAGCTCCTCCTCTGACATCATGCTTAAAATGGCTGCCTTCTGGTAAACATAGATAGCCTGCAGAGAGCAGGTTTTATATTGAACTATCGCAGACTTTTATGGTTCCATTTCTGTGCCTGATATATGAAACACATCTGTTTTTCTTCTGAGCTTACCTTGGACCAGCGACTCTCCTTGCACAGCAAGTCAGCATATTGGTACGCCTGTTCCCACTCCTGCTGGTACGAGTGAGTCCACATGAGCTCCCAGTAACACAAGTGGTGAATCTGCTTCCACTCCTGCTGGCTGCTCACACATTCCTCGTACTTGGCCCGAGCCTAAAAGAAACACAGAACACTTAGACCTGCTGTTCAGGTTTGTAAAGGAAGTGCAGAGGGATGGGAAAAACCAGTGAAAAGGGAAAGACTTCTATTAACTTCATTTTAATTCCACATAAAGTAGAACAGAGAACAATTTTACTTCTTTGTTTAGCTGATAAATGTGCTGAAATCCTTGCGCTGAAACGTCTAGTTTTCATTTGGACTTTGGCACTGAGGGTCTGAAAACACAGGGACAAACCTTCTCAAAGTTTCCTCGCAGCGCGGCAATGCGAGCAGAGTAGAAGAGGATTATGGAGCCCTAAAAGAAAAAACAAACATGATGTTTATTTAGTTACGGCCGAGTTTACTTAGACGACTGTTTGCGGTTTACTTACTTTGGGGTATTTCTGTTGGTATGGCTCCAGCAGAGCTTCAGCTTCCACCAGGTTCCCCTCTGCAGTTCCTGATCAAAGAGAACACAACAACATTCACTGCCTAATCTGCTAAGCAGCAGCAGATGCTTCTGGCTTTATTTAGGCCTTTGTGGTCGGACATTTGAACCCAGATTAAGATGGTGAAGCTGAGGTTTCTCTACCAAGACTGAACCCCCCCCCCCCAAAAAAAAAACATTAAAGTGTTTCCTACCCAGTATGAGTGAGACGTATGTGTGGTAGAAGAGCAGAGTCAGAACACAGAGGATTGACCGCAAACTGTGGCTGGAAGCTCCCTCTCTCAACTGGGACAAACCAAAGCCCTGCAGACAGATAGAGAAACAGTATGATTTTGTCTGTGTAGCCTATAG